CTCTATTCTTTCGTTCAGTAAAATAACTTCTCAACATAACTACAGCCTCTTCCGACAAGTCATAGGCTTTCAATTTTGCTAGTAATAAAGGCGGATGAAGTGAATCAAAAGCTTTAGAGAGATCAGTTGTTAGTACCCCAACAACGGTCTTATTATCCAATGATATTTTCCAATCCTCCACTAGTTTTATTAAAGAAGTCTCGCAACTGTTTTTCTTACGATAAGCAGTTAGATTGTTTTCCAGTTTCGGCTCCATATGGGAAGTTAATTGTTTACCTATTAATTGTTCAAACACTTTCCCAACTGCACTCAGAACTGTTATTGGTCTATAGTTGTTCTCAGCCCTGGGGTTTTCTTTCTTGTAAATGGGCACCCACTCTCCTTTCTTCCATGTACAGGTCAGTAGTTATCTTGAATACATGCATTGAACATCTGGGTTAAAGATGGTGCCAATGGACCACTGATTAACTTTAATAATCTATTAGGTAGGCCATCATATCCACAACTTTTACTTACTTTTAAGTTCTCCAGAGCAAGTTGTACTTCATCTTGACGGACTTTACCAAATCTGAATTTATCATCGTGCCTGTAGATTTAAACTGAAGTTCAGGCCCTAAGATTTTGATTGGTTGCAACTTGCAAGTTCACATAAACAACAGTTTTAAAAATCAAGGCATAGAATAAGGTCAAGGGCTCAAGGGGACAATAATAATATAAAGGTCAAACGCACGTAACAAATCCATCTTGGATTTCTTCGAATTTCTTTTCTTTTATGCTTTATGGCAGAAAATAAATCAAACAAATAGTATTTTGAAAGGTCTTTATCAAAATCTTTGACGAATTTTGGACACACGACGCTGAAAGAACAGCCAAACTAGTCATCTATTCGAAAGTTTGTTGTTGACAGCCAAGATGTTCTGCCAACTGGCTTCGCCGGCAAAAGTCTTATTTTTTAATATCAGGTCCTACCGGCGTTGTTTTCTGAGCTACATCGCCTTCTTCGTGGTAGGATTGAGAATTTTATTGTTGCTGTTGTTAGCCCGTTAGAGTATATCCCTGGTATATCCGCGTCCAGCAAGTTGAAACCAGTTGAGAAAGCTTGGCAGTCAAGCTGTACACAGAACTGACTAATTGAATCTTTGTTTGCTGTTCGGTTAAATAGAGAAACTGACTCTTAATTATATAAAAGTACCTTGAATTTTTAAGTTTAATTAAAAAGCAAAATGCACACTCTGCGGACATGTTCATGAGAATATAAATTTTTTGTGTAACGAAATCTATAACACTTGTCAATCATATTGCATGCTGTGTCTAAAAATAACATGTGAGCGTCCCACGGTCTAGACAGGTTTTGTGTCAGGCCCTATTTAAAATAAGGGCCTGAACTTCAGGTTAAGTTAGCATGTTCTCATAGGTTGATATACAGTGTGTATCAAAATAATTCGAATCCAAATTTGACAGACTGCTGTTTATAAAATACTAAAGTAAACCATATAATTTTTATATGGCAATAAAGAATAGCCTATTAGGTTTCCGATTATATCGTTCTTATATCAATAAGATCAAAAATGACCAAGAAATCGTATGTTAAAACTGGTTGCTCGAAATCAAATTTTTCCGCCGATGGGAATTCGAAGTGAGACGTACAAACAAAAGATAATGCAAATTTAATTAATCAACAAACTGTTATGTAGCAAAATTTACATAAATTCGTGTTCATTTAAAGAGATTTAAGCTCCTATGCCTTCAACATGTTGAACGAGAAGAAATTCGCGTTAAATTTGCATTTTAGTTTTCAGTGATGATTAGCATTTCAAAGCCTTGTGGGACTAACTTTGAAAGAAAAAATGTCCAATTCCCATCGGCGGAAAATTGTGATTTTTATGGACTTTTTTTGTCAAAGCAATACTCCTTCATTTTCCAACTAAATGACGCGTACAGCATGTCATTTGAAAGGTAAATAAATGAACTTAACAATGGTGTAAAAACCAACCGAATTTGTCAAATATATTCTGCGTTATTACACGCCAAATTTGGATTCGAATTATTTTGATACACACTGTATAATTAACTAAGATTTCCGATTATACGCCACGCCTCCAAAAAACTTCTTATGCTAGGAGCGGTCATCTCATTGAGCAAGAATACTGGCAAAGGATTGGATAACTTTGATCTCTGACGTCACTTTCCTGTGATATTGCTCGAAACCACATACAGTACCGTTTCGTTCCTGCGGGGAACGAAACAAAAAAGGTTGTTCCAGGGGCAGCATATATTGAGAAAGTAATAAAGTTCTTTGATGCCCACTACAACGTTGGAGAACTGTTCATGGAATTTGTCAAGGCAGCATGCGAGAAAGAAGAAGTTAGATGTGATTCTTCTGTTTCCTGGACTGGTTTGCCAGCCAAGAGAGTACCCCAACCTGTCCCAGATCCTGAAAGACCATTTCATTACATGCTTGTGGCAGTAACGCCATCATGCACAGACAGTGGTGATGCAAGACACGTAGATGATTGGCAACCAAGAGCTAACATTGCAAAATTATTCCAGGATGACAAGATTTCATTGCAAAAACAAGATGAGATCACAAACTTTTCTGAAAAATTCTATGTCAAAAGAGAATATGTGGTCGCATCTATAGAACATTTAGCAACTTGCAATCAGTAAAGAAGATTCGAGCAAGGACAAGAGCGGAAGAGCAGAATCAAAGGAAAGAAAAGAAGTCTGAAGAATATGACTGGCTCAAACTGGTATTACAAGGCAAAATTGATAAGTTGACGGTTCAAGAATTGGACAAGTACATTAACAAACACAACTTGAGCAAGAAAGGCAAGCAAAAGGATAAATTGAGTGCAATCACAGCAGATGTATTACGGAAGAGTCTTGCCAGGTCTACTGAACACGCTTTGGAGCAGCTACACATAGACCAGAGGAGCAGTGACAGTGATGGAGAAAGTGAGAGGATCTTGCTTTGGAAGAGTTTGGGTCAGATAATGAGACTGGAGATGAATCTAAAGGTGAACAGGAACAAAATGATGATCCAGTTCCTCTTGTTGTTCAAACGCGTTATGGATGATATGCTGGAAATTGGGCTTTGTCGGATTTACAATGACCAATACAGTAAACAAATTATGGGTTCGTCAATGTGCAGTATTGTCGTAAGTTAATAAACGCAGTTAATAAACAATATTTTTTCCTAGGGTTGGGTAAAAAAAAATTAACCAAGAGATGGTTGGGTATTTTAATTTTCTGGGCTTAAGTTAGTTGGGTAAAAGGTTCAACTTCTAGTTTATTTTCTGTGTTCGGATTAAAGCCGGTTTTCGGCCACTAACGAAATTCGTCGCGAGAATCTTTTGTCTTATAAGCTCTCGGCTGGAACTAATTAGATTTTTAATAAATTCTTTTCAATTTTAACAATAAAAAATTCGATTCGCGCGACGAAATTCGCTAGTGGAAAATTCAGTTGGTTTGTTACCATGAACCCGTCTAAATGTAGGAGCATGGTTAATTCGTGGAAAAAGATAAAGCCTTAGTTACCACCCACCTCTTGTTTTTAAAAGTTACAAATTTTTACAAGTTGAAAGCCACTGTCACTTTGGTCTTTCATTACACTCTGCAATGTCTTGGAAAACACATATCTTTGGTATTTATGAAAAAGCAAGTAACGACTTTAATATCTTTGTAGAAAAGTTTAATTAGACCAATAATGGAGTTACTGTAAATTATTTTATTATCAGCATCAATATTTCATTCACTTTCAATACATTTTGACAAATCATCGTTTCACACAGTTTTATTAACACCTAATGACAGAACAACAAGAGATTACAAGAATTTTAAAGCTGATCAAAACTCAAAAGTGTAGCTGCCCGTCGGGTCATTAGTTAAGAGATTTTAGTTGCCCGACACAAATTTTTGGTTGCCCCGGGACGTCGGGCAGGCGATTTTCGAGCCATGATTACTCCATGAGAATCAGATATCCACAAGCTAACTCAGAGATCCCAAGGATAGTGCAAAGTTGATATGACAACTGACCAGAAAGCACTAAGGGGTGTGCACACTATAGGGGGGCCATAAAGCAATGCCTGGCCCACATCGACCCTTAATCGTGCATGGTCTGTATTATAGTTATTAAAAATTCTGTATACACTACAGAATTTTTAATTGATTACTTTAGTATGCTGTTTACATTTCCAGAAATATAATTTTACCACACATACTAACGGAACATAATGACAAATAGCATACAGCTGATAGTGTAGACTGCAGAAAATGTAACTGAAATTGCAGACTTGGCATATAATAAGCAGACTTTAAAAATGAATGAGAAATAAATGTTTAATCAATGTTTGTAAATCGGATAAAGATTTGTCCTGATTTACATAAAGTTCAGCTTTGATTTTCTCGGCTTCGACAATGTTAATTTTTAAAATTTCTTCGCCAATGAATTTAAAAGATAATTCGCATCAGATAAAGATCGGCTGCTCATGTTTTAGACCAGTAGTAGTACATATTGAATAAACATGACTATATCGATCGTTAGAAAATATAATGCATGGCCTTCAATTTCCTTAATTTAAAATCAATCGCCCAATTTAGAACAAATCACAATCACTAAAATATTTGTGTTGCGTGATTGAAATGTATAAGCTTTGATCTAGCGATCACCCTAATCACAGGGTGATCGCTAGATAGTATACTTCAAAATAAGGTTTCCGTTTTTATAACGTAGAAAAAATAGGTACGCACTTAGCCTGAATACAGACCTTCGTTTTGCTCGCCCTAATATTCGCGGTTGGGAGGCGCAAAACAAAGGTCTGATGAAAATCATGTCAAAACGCTGTGAAATCCGACCGCCTGGTGGTCGGAATAGCTGATTGGCTAATTCACAGGGAAATGGGTTGTGATTGGTTGGTCGCTAAACATGAAAAGATTTGAAAAGATCAGAATATATTTCAACGGTATTCTCAACGCATATACTATGCATATAATGTAATATTCTAAATATTTTGTGAAGCCGAACGACAAATAGCTAACAGTATCTAACGTCTAAAATTAAAACTAGAGCGAGAGTAGAGCAGACTTGTCAAATACTTCAGCTTTGTGTCATTCCGTAGTAATATAGGCTTATAATACAATAATTTTTACACTATTTACGTTTTGTGATAATCATAATAAAACTGATACAATTATACACATAGGCTTATGTGTCAGTGCAATAGTGTGTTTAAATTT